TTTATTGGATTTACGATTATATAACAATTACATCATTAATTTAATTTACAAAGATTTAATTTATTACATAGCACATATGATCACTGCATATTAACAATTGCACTGTTTTGGGTTTAATTGTAGTTGCCAAGGCAATATTTGTACTTAATTATAAATTATAAATTAAAAAGATTATGAAACGTAAAGCCCATTTACTTCTGAATTAGAATAAAAGAAGTCTAATGTATTTTAGTGCTTTCTAATCATTATTTAAACTTCGAAATCATTACAATAAAAAATCATCTATTCGAAATTTGCAACAATATAACTTTGTTTTCTCAAACATACTAAGATTAAACTCTCGTTCTTGTGTTTAATATAAGTTATAAAAAATATAAAGAACTGTTAATAATTCATTCAATAATTAGAATAACTAATATATGTGGCAAATCTATGATGCCTCATTATTACAATTCACTAATATATATCTGGATTCATGACTCGAATAATTCGAGTTCAAATTATAAATTTTTTATAATGAAATTTAAAATAATTAATACTTTGCATTAATAAATTTGTAAGTTGTATAAATAATGTCGTAATTTTTTACATAGTAATTCTTTAAACTATGTATATAATTTATTGCAGTCGCAAATTTTTAATACTGTAATAAAACAATATTATAGTATAAACATAGCGCAAAACAAATGCACTAATGAATGGGGAAATCTTGTAATAAAGAGAATGTCAACACAACTAAAAGTAGATCTACTCTGGTATAACTTCCACTTGTGAAATTATAATGGATGACAGGAAGAAAAATAGTACTTATATATGATGGACTTCAAATTTAAATTAACCACCTCGCCCATAGGCACAGAATATTTAAAGATAGTTCTAATTGTTCTAGTAATATAATCATGAATCAATTTATTGTATTCGTAACTTATAACCGATATATTTGCTTTATAACACATAAATTGAATTATACTTATTTTTATAACATTCAAAATTGAATTCATGTAGCTCGCTATTTGAAGTATTTTGTTTTTGTAACTTGCAATTAATCACTCTTCTTGGTTTAATTCGCGAGTCACGAGTTTATATGAGTCCAGTCACTAATAGCAACAGCTTTGTACACGGAATAGTTGGAACAGGGAATAAAATGTTTAGGTTTTAAAAAAACGCCAATAGCAAAAATTTTACAGATACCTGTTTTCAGTTCTTTAACATATTTAAAATTTAACTTTGGCATAATTTTTTTATAATATAAAAATAGGAATATTCGATGTGATAAGATGGAACGTTTAGAACGGGACAAGGCAAGGCAAAAAAAAGCTTGGGGCCAGAGCATACACATGTACTATACATGCGTACGTACGTACATATATACCGGTGATTTATCAATGTGATAAATTATATATTACCAGGATAATACCGTAGTTGTGATAAAACATAAACAATACGAATGCGCATTTATTTATAACTATCGGCTAACTATTTATATCTATCTACTGCTTTAACGGGAAATACCCAAATCGGTATAATCAACTTTAGAAAAGACCTTACTTAGACATCGAAAATTATTAGAGTTTTTATCACAATTATAGAACAAGGGCCATGGTTAATTTTACTCTTCGGCATTTTATCACAAGTTTATTGGAAGTTACTATAGTTGACGCGTTATTATTTGAATTCAAACACAAATACATATTAATTTATGTCGCTTTATTAATACTATTTGACAAGGTACAAGTTCGAAACACTATTTTATAATAAATACATAAAAAAAAAAAAAACATTCGTAACTTCTAATATAATTTTTATGAATATGTAATAAAAAAAAAAAAAAAAAGAATTACAACAAATATATATAAATTTTAGAAGGATACGGTGTATTTGAAGATGGTTTTGTACTTTTATTAAAAGTTATATTTGCGATATGAAGATCAGATTTTTAGCCAAACAAATGGATTTTTAATCATGCTACAGTATATAAAAATTGTTGATCGAGAATAAGTATCGCGTATATGTACAGTACTATAAAGATATGTGTTTTTTCATGCTAAACAATATCGTCCCTAACACCACAATACAAGCTATCAGCTATCATTGTACGTTTATGTTATGTTCTTGGTTTCTTCGAAGACCACACTAAAATAAATACATTAAAATCAACATGGAGAAACCGTTTTGATGACTAAGAGAGATCGAAAAAGATAAAATTGATGAGAAGTGAAGTTGCATCTGATTTATTAGTAATTACCTTAAAAACTAGTTGTCAAGTTGTACCACTAGAAGCAGGCAGCGTCCCTATTAACTAACTCCCGGAGTTACGTAGTATACCTCTGTACAATAGAGGCTGATGGATCCGCCATACTTCACCGGCAGTCGTTTCACCAACAGCGACATCATGCCAAGTGTCAATTTGCCTGCAACTAAGAAAAGCTAACCCTAATCCTATGTGATATGATACTGGTTAAATGAACTTTCGGTGAAGTAAGCAGTACCGGAGGTGTATTATACTGTATTTGCTATACCACTGAGAACAGGTAGTGTCCCTATTAACTCCTGAAGTTAGTTAGCCCTGTGATAATCATTTATAAATATAAAGGAAGACTTAGCAATTATAGATTCATTTTTTAGTTAATTATGCGTTTTTTAAAACCATCACCAGTTTGAGAAATACAACACCTAAATAGCCGAAATTCGAATTACCACCACTAGGAGGTTTCAAAGGAAATTGAAATTGATGACGTACTGTATTTGGTTTGAAATAAGCGATCCGGCAATCTGATCTGATCTTCAATTTGAACGAAAGTTTTATTGTCGTAGCTGATGCTGAAATTTTGAAAATTTTTTATTAAATTTTTAAAATTTTGGAGTGCATTTTTTTAGTCTTCATGTAATAGTTTGAGTAGAGTTTAAGGTTAGGGTTTATTAATTAAAGTGTATAGATGGGTTTTAGTAGGTTTTATAATTCTAATAGAGACCCCAAAATTTCAGCATCAACTGCGACATTTATTTATTTTTTTTACGAAGTATTATAAAAATTTTCCGATTTCATGAAATGGGGATCTCCAAACACACATTTCATTTTCTGATTTTAAATCTTGAAAAACAAATAAGATTTTTCAAACTTTCATTTAATTTCAAAATGCGCCACTTACTTGTTAACTTTGAAATACTACTATTGGTTGTTTTGATAGTGATGGGCAGCCTGCAAACAAGTCAATCTGTCTTTACATAGAATTATGATCTCTGTATATTTAATATATAAATCCTACCAAACCTATAAAAAAAGCAAAAAAAAAAAAGTTTAAAATTTTAAAATAAGCTAAATTTCAGCATCTTCTTAACACATGAAAAATAAAACCGGATCCAAACTCAACTATTAAACAATATTAGAGACTGTAACTCCTGATTCATGAATTAAGTATTAGAATTATTTGATTGAGTCAATTTATTCAAATTATTCGAATCACAAATTTAATTTACAATTTATAAAAACAGATATACTGTAGTATCAGGCTTGGTCATTGAAAAAAAAATCAGATCAGCGACGTTAGTTTTCTAATCGTTTCAATGATTAGATTATTCAAAGGCTGAGTCTGATAAATAATAAACTTGATATTTCGATATCCTATTTCTCCAACTGCTGATGACCAAACATTCATCATTAAGCATAAATTTAATACTTATCAAATTAGTATTGAATTGCAATTCCAAGAAATGAATCAAAGACTGTTTTCTGATATTACGATTTTAAAAAGCAAGCATATTTAATATCGATATACATTAACAATTGCATGAATTCTTTGACTCGCAGTATAAATGCCGACATACAGTCAAGTACCTTAAAAGTGATGAGTACTGCTTCACGTCAGATGAAAGAATTGTAAAACAGACAAAACAAATGAAAGTTTCAAGTGACATTTATAGTATCAGGTCAGACGTTATTTTATATTCATTTTCTTCAAGATACGTATGTAGCAATTATAATTAAAATGAATTTTATAGTTAACTCTATCAGAACAAGATTATGCAGCTCAAGATAAATGAAAAATTTAGCAGGACAATTAAAAAAATCCAATTTAACAAATTTGACAATGTTAAATGAATCTACTCGAAATGACATACTGTCATCAGTGTTCGCTCTTAAAAATACAATTGAAGATAATACATTAATTAAGCTAAAAAGACCTTTAGTCTTTCAATAAGTTGCTTCAGATAATGAGTTTTTTTCAAAGATATTATTTATATTATTCCATGGTAATTTATTTTTTTTCTTATCAATTATATTATTGCTATTTATCTCTTGGCAGAATTGTACTTGCTAACAATGATATAACTTAGAAAGAACAATCTGAAACGAGGAAAAAAAAGTTAAATTTCACAACAATTAAAAAAGATGATGAAGAATTAGAAGTCAGGAAGCATTCAATAAGAGCCTCAAAAGAGAATATCGACTAGATGAAAAGCTACCCAAAAGTAAATAATTACATATATTAAAAAAGATCTAATTGTATAAAATTATTAGTTTTGGTAATAAACCAATTACTAAATAATTTTATGTAAATAATTAGAGTTATGATGGATTTGTCGAATTCTTGACACCTGACAAAAATTGTAATGAAGAAATTTGGACTAGACGAAGAATGAAATATTTTCTTTTCGCAAATGATGTTTAAACAAAAACCCTGGTTCTTTTAAACAATTTCGAATATAGTCAAAGATGCAGATAGAAAATCTATTTTAAAAAATTGAGATTTTTATTTGAAGTAATAGCAACCTTGTAAGTATTTCTTTATTATCCTAAGCTCAACCAGGATTTACTGATATTTTTATTTGCCTTTTAGTTATATGATAATAATATGCCCGAAAGAATAATATATTTAAAGAAGGTTCTGCGCAAGTTTTTGGATATTCGTTATATACTGTATTATTAAATTTATTTGCACTTCTTTTAGGGGAAACAAGGTTTTTTAAGCATAGTATATCGAAAATTAATAACAAATAAAAAAGCCACAATCTCAAAAAAAAACACACAATTAGCGGACATACTTATACTAGTCTTGCACGAATGACATAGAACTATTGGATTGTGCGGGCCAGAATCATCCAGGGCGACCATAAAAAGTGCAGTAACGTGATCATGACATTTGGCCTGCATTAATCTAGCTTAGGCCGATGATTTTCAAAATTCTAATTTGACCGGAAATTAAGTAAAAAAGAAATTAGGCCTGTTCGTGGTAAAGTTATATCGCGAATATTTTTTTCTTGTGAATAGCTGTAGTTGTATATAAAGTTGTGTGCAGTTTTGGTTTGGCTGCGCTACAGGTCACGTTACTGCACTTTTTATGGTCGCCCTGGATGATTCGGGCTTCTATAGAAAATCTAATCGGCATAAGAAAACAACAATAATAGATGATACAAGATAAAAATGATCGATGATCATTAAAATGCCTGGGACATCAAAGGAGTGTTTAGAATTATTGGATTCCTAATTGGAATTAGATACATTTTACTAGGGTATTTTTATATTTAATGTTAGGTTGTGTAAATGATTTTGTATTTTTAGAATTCTTTACAAGAATGCAATTACCCCAATACATAATCAGCTGACCGAAAGAATATTTGTGATATAAATCAATTAGTATGGAGGTCAAATAAATAAATAATCAATAAGTGCTCTATAAATACAATGTGAAAATATTTAATAGTCGCATCTTCATAAATGCAACTACTCTTAAAATGTATTCTCGCATGTTTTAAACAAACATGTTCAAGAACTATAAATTACTAGTACCTATGTATAAACTCAGTTGTGTATGTGCTTTGGGACAGTGTTCAAGCGGGTTTCGTTGACCAGTTTAAGTGGTTTCCAATGTTATCGTTACTATTACTGGTAGAATCAATGATCAATTGATAATCTTAACCAATTAGAATTATTGATCATTATCAATAAATAGAATTTCATCATGCTTTTCTTGCTTTTCTGTATATGAATAATATTCATTACTCTTTCTACCATTTTTCGGGAAATGATGTACAGAATAGATATGATTCCTCTTTTAAAGACAAAATCCTTTTTCCGAAAGTATTCTTCAATTCCTACTTCAATAATAGTAAAAACTGGACAAGAGATATCACGATTGGGTTTTGGTAGTTATCGAATAAATCGGAAGGTAGATGAATATCAACTCGCTCTTAAAAAAGCGATAAACAGCGGTATTAATGTCATTGATACAAGTGCGCATTTTGAATCTGGTGAATCAGAGGAAGTAATTGGAGATGTCCTCGAAAAGATGATGAATGAAGGATCGGTTTCCCGTAAAGTAATAATAATAATTTGTAGATGTTCAATTTAATTATTATATTTTAATATTATTTCATTATCATTTGTCTAAATAATATGTAGGATTTAGTAGTTATATCTAAAGCAGGATACTTTGAAACAATTGACACATCGACCATACCGGATACATTTGCAAAGATTAGTAATAAATCGGCGCACTCCATTTCGCCGGAATTTTTGCAAGATCAGATTAATGGTTCTTTATCTCGATTAAAGCTAAATAAATTAGATATTTTTATGCTTAATAGCCCTGAACGAATGTTAAAAGCAAAGAATAAGGTGCGATAATCTTGTATTGTTTTTAGGATTACTATGCATTTATTCCAACTTTTTCTTAGAATTATTCAATGAGCCATTTGTATCAAGACATTGAACGCGCTTTCGATTACTTGGACGAAGAAGTTTCAATAGGTGTCAATTTGCGTCTTCGATTAGTATGCTTGCTTCATATTCTTGACTGTCGTATTTTAAAGTAATTTATATGTTTTTTGGGACATTTAACAGGGAGAATCGGGGGTTATGGGATTTGTTCAAATTCAATGACCACCCCAACAACAAGTGATTACATATCCCTGCCAACTATTTTAGAAAAAATACCTGAATCTCGTAAACATAATTTTGTAGCAATACAAGTACCTTTTAACATCTTTGAAAGAGATGTAATTCAGATAGGGTCTTCACAAAATTGGTCGCTTGCTGAATATTCAAAGGTAACAAATAATATGTAAGATTAGAAGATGCTCATTGTAGGAAAAAAAAAAAGTGCCCAATTCTAAAACAAAAATTTCTTAAAGCAAAATGACATTTTTTTATTCACTAATCGCCCACTTAATGCAATTACTGGAGGGACTATTAGACCTTTAGTGAATAAGAGTGTTGATTTGGATGCCTGTAAGTTACTGTACATAAATATGGTTTTCATTTTAATATTGCTAGAAATATCTATACATAATAATTTACTTCTAACAAATAGCAATTGAAGAAGTTTCTGACAACCTCTCTAATAAATTTCAAAAATTGGGGGAATTGGAAGTTGAACTAAATGAATTATGTGAGTCCAAAATCAAATAATATCATTAATGATTCATATAATTCATATCTTTCTTTCATTAACGTAAATCCGTTTAGTTCCATATATAGATTTTAAAATATCATCAAAATTTATTTGGGCTCAAATATTATCTGAAAATTTAAATAAGTTATCTCAAAATTATTTTGCTACAAAGTATTATTTAGAAAAACAAGTCAAACCTGATATAGTTAATGATTTAGAATCGTTATCGGATAATTTTAAGTCTAATAGATTTGATAAAAATGCTAAAAACAATTTGCAAGATTGGATTACAAAATATCATTCGGTAAGATTTCTTTTCTATTCGTAAGTTTCGTTCAATATTCACAAAAATAACTATATTTTATCTTCAAATAGGAATTTCAATCCTTATCAACTTTACTAATTTCTTATGCTTATCTAAATTTATTGTACATAAATAATGATTTGGATTCAATTATTTCTACGGTTTCTCCGTCACTTCAGTTTGATGATGAATCTCCTCAAAAGCCTTATTCCCCTTTATCTGTAAAATGCATTCGTATTAATTTAGCAAATTCATTAATCGGTTGTACTTTAGTAGGTATGAGGGAATTAAACTATGTTGAGGATTCTATTCTAGCATTAAGATTAAGCGATAATGATATTACGGTCGAATATTTAGAGGAAATTTATAACTGTTTACAATAAAAATTATTGATCATTAACGTCACTTACATCAGGAAAATTAAATAAGTGCAAATCTGCAAAAAATTGCAAAATTTTTCATAATTTGAAATTTTGCACAGCACTAAAAAAAATTTTCCAGATGTACATAAAAACCAGCATAAGAAATTAAATCTATATTTAACAGATAGAATCTCTTTATCGGAATTTCCGGATAATCCGAATTTCTTAATTATTCAGATAAAATAAAATTTTAGTCTCAAACAGCAAATTCGGATTCGATAATAATAGAGATGAGCAAAATAATTTTGTAAGTAACAATGACCTATGATTTATCCCTTACTTAACATTAAGTAATATTAAATAATTATTACATCCAATTATCTATTACGTGTACATATAAACACATGATAAAAGTCGGAGACGGGTGATCAAAATTGAGATTGAACGAAAAGTTGTTACTAATGATAAAATTATTGTAAAATTACTTAATAATACTTATTCAAGGTAATATTAAGTATATTAAGTAATAATATGTAACTGACTTTGCCCATCTCTAGATAATAAGATCATGATTTACGAGTTTCATTGAAACTAGGTTTTAATTCACGTTTGCTGTATTTGTATCATAAGAGAAAGATAATTTTTATCCTGCGTTGGATTAATCGATAATTTAAATTTTATTTATCTACATGTCCGGATTAAACATTGCCGGTAATTTCCTTATGAGGCAATTTTGCTATAAATCCGTAACGTTGGTCATACTAAAGGTATGTTTGGGTGTTCAATAAATATTTGGTCGATTGTTCCAAACAATTCGGTCTTTTGGTCGTATTGTATATTATCTTTAATTTGCCGAATTTTTAATTGGTATTGTTCCTTCTTTGTTTTGAGTTTCATAATTGAGTAAACAAAGTCTTGGTTTTTCAATAATTTCATAAGTCCGGAATCCAATATTTTCTTTAGTGTTGGATTTTCCTTTAATATTCTGGATGCATGCATTCGGTCTTGGGGTCGGAATGCTGCTAAATATTTGTAATTATAATGGCCGTTTAGAAGTCTATTGACTCTATTAATTTTGTTTTGAATCTGGCCTTTTTCATATTCGAGGTGTTTCTTGTATTTTTCTATTTGTAGAATCTCGATTCTTGGTGTCATTTTTACTTGTTTGTGATGAGTAGTAAATTCGTGGTCTGTCATTATTGGTAGTTTTTCTTGAATTTCGTCCTCATCTACTAAGCTTTCTATTTTTTCGTAAGGGTACTTAGCTTCGTAGTCTATAAAATCATCAGTGAGTTATTCACTATGTTGTATTTCTTGCATTTTGACGAAATATTGATGTATTCCATCAAATATCAATTCTAATGGTTGTTCTATCATTGGTATAAGTAATAATTTCTTTACTTCATCATATGTATACAATTCCCATGGTGTTGCTTCTTTTGGTTCACATTGTTTTAGTTTTTGAAACATATTGCATGGATAGATAAATACAGTTCTTTATATTTTGTATTTAGCTTCTATTGGTGAGTAGTATTTTTCTGCTACCCATTTTTGTGAGCTTGGTTTAAATTCAGTTCATACTTTTATAAGTAATTCCTTTTCCAATAAAATGTTTGCTTCTTCTAAGCCTTCTCTTATTGCTGTGTATTTATTGCTTTCACATAGTTTTTCATTTTTATCCAATTCACCTTTTCTTCCATATTCTTGGAAATGATTCCAAAATACTTTTTTAGGGTTAATCCTTTTGGATAATCTTATTTAGTATCCTCTTTCTGGGTGGTACCTAAATGGTGTGTGTGGTTTGTATAATCCTTCATTCTGGTAATTCTAAGTGTGAGATTAAAGAGTGTGCTATGAATTCTAATTTTCTGCAAGTATTACAGTTATTATAATAAATTTCTTGGTCGTTTTCAATTTCTTTATATGCTGTCATTTCTTGAAAATTATTGCAACTAGTACATTTCCATGTTATTCCATATTCTGGATCGTTAAATAGTAGTAATTGTTTCATCTTCTTCATTTAACTGTTTTATAATAAATTCTACAAATTTTATATTGTATATTTCTGTTTCAGTTAATTCTGTTTTCTTTGTAATTTTAAAGCTTTTGCAAGTTTATATTCTGTTGTAGTTTTCTTTCTTGCATTTGATGTTTCTCTTTTATTACAGCATTGTAATTCTATATTTTATCCAGCTTTTTTGCAATATTTTAAGTATTCTGATATTGTTTTGTATTTTCCACACTTTGGGCAATGTTTTTCTTTTTCGCCGTTGACGATTTTTTTTACTGATACAAATTGTTTGTAGCTCTTCCTACAAGTTTGACAGGTTTTTAATTTCTTATTTCCTTTAATAGACTGAGGTAGTTCTTGGACTTTTGCGCAAGTTCCACAGTGTATTAAATATTTATATGAGAATTTTCCAGTGTTGTTTATAATTATTTCTACAAATCGTTTTTGGTAAAAGTGTTTATCCACTCTTTATATTTGTCACAGGTTTTACTAATTGTTCTGTCTTTATTATTCGAGTATGTTCCTTTGGGTGTTTTGCACTTGCAGCACTTTTTAATTCCTGCTTTTGTAATGGTCATTAATCTTTCTTTCAAAATTGTTTATGAAATTCTTTAAATTCTTGGTAGTTTCTTACTTCCCAATATTGGTCATTTATGTTATAGTTTGCTACTTTCCAATATAGATTTATAATTGTTGTTTGTAAACATGATTGTAATTCATTATATATCCACTTGAGTTTTTGTTCTTCATTGTGGACAAAAGTATGACTTCATGTATTTGGATTGTAATTCAAATAAGTTGTAGTATTGTGGATTATTTCTCTAGAGATACTAATTAAATAAGCTAAATAATTTGTTCCTTGCTTTTTGTGAAATAAAGAAAATAAATTATGTGGTTTATGTGATGCTTCTTTTTTAAGTATCTTTTCTAAGAATTCGTTTTCTAAATCTTTTTGTAATTCATTAAATGCTTTAATTGATTTTCAATTGTATATTTTTTATGTGATAGGTTTTGGAATTCTTTTAGTTTGTAATATTAGTCAAAGTATTTTTCAATGTTGATTAGTTTCCACTTTCCCATTAATTTTAATTTGTTTATTTTGTTTTATGCTTTGTGTGATATGTTTGATATTAAAATATGTAATTTCTTCGATTTTCTCCAAGTCTTTTTATATTCTTTTTCCAATTATCTAATACTTTAAAATTCATTTCTTCAAATATTGATTCTTGATAATATTGTTGTTGGACATGTTGTAACTTCTTCTTTAATTTCTTTTCTAGTTTAGAATTTTTCATTTATAATAGATGAAGTTGTTCCCTTGCATGTATAAAAATTCATGCCAAATATGAGCTTCAGATTGGTCTTGTGAATAATTAAAGTTGTCCAATAGAGTAATAATATAAAAATCTTTGTTTGCTAATAATGCTCATAATTTGGTTGTAGTTTTCTTAAGCTCTTTGTTTCCTATAAATGTTTTTTGGTGAATAAGTATTTGGTGTAGTTCTGTAGTTGTTAGATTTACTACAAAATGTTCAATTTCTAAAATTTCTTCTTTGAGTTGTGAATAAGAGTGTGTGTCCTTATCAAACAAAATGAATATTTAATTTTATTGTATATCTGAAATTCTTCTAAAATGTTCTTTTGTTGTGGATATTATTCATACTATAAATTTACTGAATACAGATGTTTCTAATAATTGTACAAGTTGTATTTTTGCAGTTATCTATAACTTAATTATTAAGATTGAATTTGTTTCTAATAAAACTGGTATATTATTGTTAAATAATTTTTCAATTCTCCAATCTAGGTGTTGTAATATTTGGTGTTTCTTAAAGCTAACACTATAGTAATTAATTCTAACTGGTTCGTCAGAATAAGCTATCACTTGTTCTTCTTAAATATTGGTGATGTAGTTGGTGTTTCTACTATAATATTTTCAGTTAATACTTTCTCAGGTTCAATGAGAGTTTTGTATACTGATTCCAGTTTTGTTTTATAAACTTCTATTTCTTCGTTAGAATAAATAAATTATTCATTGACAATTTCTTGTGCTAATATTAAGCAATATACTTGTAGGGTTCTTAAATATATTTCAATGTTTGTAATATTGGTTGCTAATTTCTGATATGCAATTTTAATAGTTTTATTCTTTTCTTTCAGGTTGAAGTATCCTTGTATTCCTTTTAGAGTTGTGAGGTAGTTTTTTATTAGCTGGACGTGTTTTAATAGATTAATATAGGTTTGAATCTTTTCTTTAGTAGTTATCAAATTTGGATTCTTGTTGGTCATAATATTTTTGTAGATTCTTATAGTAGGTTTCTTTTAATAATTGTTCTACTGTTGGTACTAAACACTGTTCTCCATAGTATTGACCTAAACTACTTCCTGGTATAAGCGATTCTACTATATCTTGTACTCTATTATAATATTGCTGTTGATAGTGTTTTTGCCTAAATTCTAATTCTAATAATTTAGTTCAAGCAATTTCTTCTTTGTTAGTTTCTATCTTTTGCAATTCTTTGTAGTCTTAATAAATAATTCTGGTATTTTCTATCCAATTAAAATATTCTTTTGATTTATATACAGTTCGTATTTCTAAAGATTTTCCTTCTTTAGTGTAAAACTCATTGCCTATTTTATCAAATATAGTTGTTTCTAGGAAGTTTAATAAGTAATAAGTTTTTATTTTAATTTGTTTAAAAGTTAGAAGCCTTTTATAAAATGGTGATTCAGATAGTATTTCTCTTTCTTTGAGTGGCAAGTATTCTATGTGGTGAATATAATCTTCTGTTAATTCTTCACAAAAGTTTTTAATCAATTCTTCGTAATTATCTTCCATTTAACTGATGGATTTACTTCGTTTTCTATTTTTGCCTGGAAAAATAGAATATTTAGTTATTTTGTTTAAGGTCTTTAATTCTTTTTCTTCGTCAAGAATTACTTTTGCTCCTTTATTAAATAGTATATCTTCTGCAATAAAGATATTAAAATAAAGTAATCTTTTTAGATC